GCAAAACGAAATTCCTACCAGGAACCGTGTGTCATAATGTGTTTCGGCTGCTGCTCAAGCTATTCTTGGTAATTTAAAGCAAGAAAATAATGCCAAATTCTCTGGATCTAAAAAAAGTTGCGTGACTGTTCATTAGCTGCAGTCTGTCGCTGCATAACGAATACGAGAATACCGAAAACTTGAATTCGTACAGAGAAAAATCGATGCAAAACAACAAGGCCATGACTGACTGTCATATAGGCTAATCAATAGAGTTAGTAACCTGTAACACTAATATGGGAAGCAAGGGTGGGAAGGGGAAATTTTAGAGCAACTTTTGACATAAATCGGCTTTTATTCGCCATGCACGAACACGCGCTCGGAAAGATGTTTTAGGGTCCCCAGAGTGACAAGTACCGAGCAGGTGTTTCGTAATGGGATTTTGTTTTTTCCTGCTTTAAAAGCCACCTAGGCAGATGCTCCATAGATCTGGCTGCCAATTGCCGTTGCGTTTGACCATCGCAACTCAGGCGCGCAGGATACAAGGACTGAGGTGGTCGGTCCAGCCTTGCCAATTTGAAAATCAACCGCTATTGCTTCCCGCTCTCTAACAACTACAATAACGGACTATTCCTACAGGCTGCCGTTTTTAGTGGACGCTTTGGACCATGTAAGGATTCAATGCACACCCCGCATGCACACCATCCAAGCATTCGACCCACCGCATAAACAGCATTCACATGAGACAGTTCAACTGTCGCGAACGAGTTTGTCTACCCCAACAACAGGGTGGCCACCGGAACCGTAACTTGCACGGGAATTAGATTCTAGTGATCAAAGCTTTGCGCCTCACATGCCGCGGCCTCCCATTCCTTGCCTACCTGGTTCTAATGATAGGCTAAATAGAGTGGGACCTCGGTTAACGAGTTTAATCCATTGCTGCACTAAACTCGTGCTGTAAAACGCTCGTCTTGCGTAAAGTAGTCAATCATACCGCATCAATTCGCTGATTGGCTGCAGACGACCGAGGACCCCCGCTGTGGGAGC